TGTGTGTGTGTGTGTGTTTCCTCAACTACTATGCTGCTTATGCTACTCATTTTCATAGCTTTTTCTAATTACCGTTAATTACAAATAAAATCAGTCCTGTTCATAAACCTCTGGGTTGCACTTTATTTTACAGTTGGCCTGCACTTACGTGTGGTTGTGTGCTTATATAAGGTCATTATTGTTACATGGGTTAAGGTTAGGTTTAGGGGTAGGTTCAGTACCTAGTTATTACCCGGACATTGTAATTAATATAGTAAGTACATAGTATGCACATGCGTAACAGGACTGCAAAATAAAGTGCTACCAACCTGACCCAGATAGACTGAAATAGCCAACAGTGAACACTTCTTATATGACCGCATCTTGAATCATGTAAACAAGAGACATAATCATCGTGATATAATACGTGGGAGGAATGTGAACATAATGATACTGGTATAAAATTTAATATAAATTAAATGTAATGTTATAAATTATGTAAAGGGAAGTTTAGATTAAGGTTTAAATGCTTTCTTTCACAAACTGCATGAACTGCATGAACTATTGAAAGGTATTTATTTTAATTATATGATTTTAGTATCTGTAAATTTCCGTGTCATCCAGAAAATACATAATTAATAATACTCAATTTTACACTGTATTTCAATTATATATACAAAAGACTCTAAAATATACTTTTTCTCCCGATCTAACACATGAACAATCTCTCATCTACATTATTAGATGACACAGTTTCACTGATGAATCAACATCAAACCCAGGACAGAGAGGCTCAGTGAATGTGGTCTGGATTCTGTGGATGAGGCTCATTGTGTCAGAGACGCTGTAGAAGGACAGAATTCCTACACTGTGATCAACATACACTGACACATTATTTTAGTACAAATGGTTTGGATTTATGAAAAAAAAATAAATAAATCCGGGTAAAAAATAAAACCCTCGTCTAGACTACAAACATAAGCCATGTCAGTATACAGTGCTACTACGATATGATGCTACTGAATGGAAACGAGAACAGGGAGAGCAGGCAGTTCTGAGATGGCTTCCATAGCCATGACTGGGAGAAAAGGTGGCTCAAGAGTAGTCTTAATGACCATGACAGAGTGCCCAGGCTGTTTTGAGTGACCTCAATGCTCATGACTTGAATGGCAAGGACTCATGGAGGCAGAAACTGGCAGGACCACTTAAATCGAGACCACCGGGGTAGTCAAGGCTGGGATCGCTGAACAAGGGACATCTGGGACGACCAAAGCCAAGCTTACCGGGATCGCCAGACTCAAGAACCACCAGTCTTGGGACCAGAAAAAGCCTTTCAGAAAATTTGTCAATTGAAAAGTCACTAAATTATTCACCTCAGCTGTTGAAATTCCCACCACTGAAGAGACAAAAAATCTGTTGTCCTGATGTCACTAAAGGGGATGGCCTTTTTTGAAAGGAGCGGATTGCCCAATAAGACGGAGTGGACAAACTCTTCTTTTTTTATAAAATAAAAATATTGTTTTTATTTCCAAATGAGCAATACACTCAAATTGAGCAATCTCTTATTTAACAAAATATTAATAGGATAATTTTTTATTTTATTTTATGATTTGACAATATTCTACTATCATTCAAATGTAATGAGCAGTGCATGGGATATATCACGCATCCTCTTACACAAAACTAAAAAAATCTAGAAAATGTATCTAAAGAGCCAAGTAATGCTTTTGTTATGAATATAAAAACTTAGCCTAATATAACACACCCTTTCATAGTCATTTTTATGTTATCATGGCAAATGAGTTATTTATGTACAGGACACCAAAAAGCACTCTACAGTGATATTGACCCAAACACAAAGTGATGCCAAAATAAGTCTAATCACTGTGATATATGTGGGAGGAATGTGGACTTTAGAAAAAAATTGAATTTGTATAAAATCTAAATCAAAACAGCTTTATCAAATACAATTGCCACTCATATAAACAGTGAGAGCGCCTACTGCTGGGGGTTAAGGATAAGATTTATGTAACAGCAGAATTCCATGAACATAAATGTAACTACTAAATATATATTAGCTTTAAAATTATTAAAAGGTCTTAGTATCTGTATAGAGTATTTTTTATATACAAGCCTGTGTCTTCCCGCAAAATTCATTAGCTAAGGCATTCTTCATTCTTATGTCTATACGATACACAATTTTTACCCAGTATGTGAAAGAGCATATGCAGAATCCCTCATATACACAGTTTCACTGATGATCCACTACTAAACCCAAACCCAGGACAGAGAGGCTCAGTGAATGTGGTCTGGATTCTGTGGATGAGGCTCATTGTGTCAGAGACGCTGTAGAAGGACAGAATTCCTACACAGAGATCCACATACACTCCTATTCTAGAGGATCTGGAGGACACAGGGAGCTCAGTCTTTATGTTATTGTGCCTGAATACGTAACTGGAGGAAGAGCAGAACAAACTCCAGGACTGATTATTAAATCCAAACAATTGCTTCCTGCTGATGCTCTTGTATGATACTGATATACACACACTTTTTCTCCCACTCCACTCAACCTCCCAATAACAGCGTCCACACACACCCTCTTTACAAAACACCTGCACACAGCCATCAAATCTGTTTGGGTGAGCAGGATAATGCTGGGGTGTGTCGGTGCAAGTAGCCACACTGTTCTCTTCAGACAGGCGGAGGAATCGATTCATTGTGTTTGAATCCAGAGTGAGCTGGCATGAATCTAATCGAGATAAAACACAATTAGGTTAATGTTTGTTTGTTTGTGAATGTGTGTGTAATTTATGTTGTAGAGCAAAACATCCAAGTATCGCCAGTTTATATTTACCACAGACCTTTATTTTACTCATAAATTACAAAACCCCATTCTTTTCAAAAAGAAGCCTGGGCATTCTACCTAATACTGTAGGTCTTTTGAGTTTTACAGAAGAAATTAAAAGTTATATGGGTTTGCAACAACATGAGGATGAGTAAATAATTACAGAATTTTAAAATTTTGAATGCTTTGCTCCTGTTTGGCAGCTTGTTAAAATATAAAGCTTTGGACAATGTGCCTTTTGCATGTGTACAGTATATATGTGTGCTTCATAATTCCTTACACTGAAGGAACTGTTCCCTGGTCCTTGAAATTCCCGCCACTGAAGAGACAAAAAATCTGTTGTCCTGATGTCACTAAAGGGGATGGCCTTTTTTGAAAGGAGCGGATTGCCCAATAAGACGGAGTGGACAAACTCTTCTTTTTTTATAAAATAAAAATATTGTTTTTATTTCCAAATGAGCAATACACTCAAATTGAGCAATCTCTTATTTAACAAAATATTAATAGGATAATTTTTTATTTTATTTTATGATTTGACAATATTCTACTATCATTCAAATGTAATGAGCAGTGCATGGGATATATCACGCATCCTCTTACACAAAACTAAAAAAATCTAGAAAATGTATCTAAAGAGCCAAGTAATGCTTTTGTTATGAATATAAAAACTTAGCCTAATATAACACACCCTTTCATAGTCATTTTTATGTTATCATGGCAAATGAGTTATTTATGTACAGGACACCAAAAAGCACTCTACAGTGATATTGACCCAAACACAAAGTGATGCCAAAATAAGTCTAATCACTGTGATATATGTGGGAGGAATGTGGACTTTAGAAAAAAATTGAATTTGTATAAAATCTAAATCAAAACAGCTTTATCAAATACAATTGCCACTCATATAAACAGTGAGAGCGCCTACTGCTGGGGGTTAAGGATAAGATTTATGTAACAGCAGAATTCCATGAACATAAATGTAACTACTAAATATATATTAGCTTTAAAATTATTAAAAGGTCTTAGTATCTGTATAGAGTATTTTTTATATACAAGCCTGTGTCTTCCCGCAAAATTCATTAGCTAAGGCATTCTTCATTCTTATGTCTATACGATACACAATTTTTACCCAGTATGTGAAAGAGCATATGCAGAATCCCTCATATACACAGTTTCACTGATGATCCACTACTAAACCCAAACCCAGGACAGAGAGGCTCAGTGAATGTGGTCTGGATTCTGTGGATGAGGCTCATTGTGTCAGAGACGCTGTAGAAGGACAGAATTCCTACACAGTGATCCACATACACTCCTATTCTAGAGGATCTGGAGGACACAGGGAGCTCAGTCTTTATGTTATTGTGCCTGAATACGTAACTGGAGGAAGAGCAGAACAAACTCCAGGACTGATTATTAAATCCAAACAATTGCTTCCTGCTGATGCTCTTGTATGATACTGATATACACACACTTTTTCTCCCACTCCACTCAACCTCCCAATAACAGCGTCCACACACACCCTCTTTACAAAACACCTGCACACAGCCATCAAATCTGTCTGGGTGAGCAGGATAATGCTGGGGTGTGTCGGTGCAAGTAGCCACACTGTTCTCTTCAGACAGGCGGAGGAATCGATTCATTGTGTTTGAATCCAGAGTGAGCTGGCAGGAATCTAATCGAGATAAAACACAATTAGGTTAATGTTTGTTTGTGAACCCGCTCCAGTCCGGGAGCCTTCAGAGTCCACTCATGAACCCGCTCCAGTCCGGGAGCCTTCAGAGTCCACTCATGAACCCGCTCCAGTCCGGGAGCCTTCAGAGTCCACTCATGAACCCGCTCCAGTCCGGGAGCCTTCAGAGTCCACTCATGAACCCACTCCAGTCCGGGAGCCTTCAGAGTTCACTCATGAACCATTCCAGTCCGGGAGCCCTCAGAGCCAACTCCAGAGCTGCTCCAGTCCGGGAGCCCTCAGAGTACACTCCAGAGCCCAATTCAGTCTTCAAGTCCGCTCTTGAGCCCGCTCCAGCCTTTGAGTCTGCTCCAGAGTTAATTCCAGTCTTCGAATCTGCTCCTGAGCCTGCTTAAGTCTAGAAGTTCACTCCAGAGCTTGCTCCAATTAACGAGTCCGCTCCAGATCCTGCTCCAGTCTACGAGTTCATTCCAGAGTTCACTCCAGTCTGCTCCAGAGCCGGTTCTAGTCCATGAATCCACTTCTGAGCCCACTCAAGTTTATGAGTTCACTCCTGAGCTCGTTCCAGTCCATCTGCCGTATGTCACACCCATTAGCTGGAGTGTCCATGACAGCCACCAGAGGGCACTCCTCCCGTATCATTGCCTATTGCCTGTGGACTTTATTTCCCATCAGCCTTTGCTTGGTCTATCAGGTCTCATTGTTTCCAGCTGTGTGTCATTAGCCTTGTTAATTCCCCTATTTATACCCTATGTTCACTTAGCATTGGGTGCTGTAGTACTGCACTGTGTTTCTGTGTGGGTTTTGCTGACATCAGTTTTTTTTTTTTTTTTGTAGTACCCTGGGCTGGTGCTCTCAGTCTTTTGTCTTATGTGACTCTTATTTAAAGCTGCACTTGGATCTTTCGAAAAGTCCCAGAGTATTCTGTCATAGATTCACCAAATATTTTCATAATTTAAAATGTACAATTGTAAATTCTAATGTAGGAACAACTGAAATCACAAGAAGGTAAAAGCACATAATCATGGTAAGATGATAATTATATTTGCAGGAGTAGTGCTTTGCAGGAGTAGTGTGTTTAGGTGTAAATTTTTCTCCTGCACGTAAAAATATGAAATAGTCCACATAATTATTAGTGAATGAGACCAAGTTTACTTAGAACAAAGAAAAGACTACCATTGTTTTGTGTTTCAGATCTCTGTTACCTGCAGGAAATGGACGTGATCATCTGTGTGTAAAAGCTGCTCCAGTTCAGCATTTGTACTCATCAGATCATCAATCTCCTGTTCTAATTGCAGTAAGAGTCCTTCAGCTCGACTCACTGCAGCCTCTTCCTGAGCTCTGATCAACTGTATCACCTGAGAGCGGCTTCTCTCAATGGAGCGGGTGAGCTGAGTAAAGGTCCTCTCAGTGTCGTCCACTGCTGCTTGCGCATCACAATAAGCACTTACTGCTGCCTCACACAGCCTGAAAGAAGCAGTGAGCTTCAACGGGAATGAAAGTCAAACTCACCTTATGAGACTTCACAGCGTCTCTCAGCTCCTGGAGCTGATTCTGTCTCTCCTGAATTCCCTGCTGGAATTTTCTTTGTGTTTCTCCCAAAAGCCTCTGTTGGGAAAACGAAAAGGCTGTATAATCTCAGACACCAAATCAGTATGTAAGTACATTTCTAATACTTTCATGATAATGATATGGGATTTTGCATATGGCAGCCCATAGAACCGCTTACAGGAAAGTTATGAAATTTGGCACACAGAGAGAGGACAGTTTTAACTATAAAAAAAACAGCAATTTTGGAGTCTAACTCAAACCCTCTAGCGCCACCAACAGTTCAAATTTGCACTCACATTTCTGCTAATAACTTTGGCACAGCGCCACCTAGTGGTTGGGAGATATGAAAAATGGCTGTGATGTACCGAGACATAGCAAGCGAAATGATATCCAATATTCCCATTATTGGCATCGGCCAGTTTGAATTTTGTAAAAAGCTGTATTTTAATGAATGCATTTGCATATCCTTATGAAATTTGGTATCTGAAGGTAATCAAAACGTTTCAGGGGAGCGCCACCTTGTGGTCAAAATTATAATGAAAATGTTTTCAAAACAGCTCCTAGACCACTGGTCAGATTTTCACCAAATTCATGTAAGATTTAGTCGATAGACAAAACGGTGTGCGTTTAAAGAATCTTTGAATTTGATGACATGATGCCAAACTGCATCTGAGGCTGTAACTCTGACACAGTCACACCAAACTTTCTGTGTCATTGTCACCTCACACTGAACACCCCGCATACATTTTATAACAATGCCACCTATTGGCCAAAAGTGATAAACCATTAAACTAGTCATATAGTGGTTTTATTTATGATTTGAGTAAAATCTTAAAATGTCTTTAATTATTCATTGTTGCAGTTGTTCTGGTGCTCAGTGTCATTTTTACCTTCTCATTTTGCCTCTGTTGTGCTTGGCCCCTTAATTGCTGCTTGCAGCTATATTTTAGCATTAGCACATTAGCGTCTAATTTCAGTTCATACCTGTTTCTCTGTCCTTTCTGCTTCAGCTGTTACAGTGTCATGGTTTTTATGTTCGTCAATCAAACACGGAAAACAAATTAACTGCTGGTCAGTACGACAGTAGATTTCCAGTTGTTTGTTGTGTTTTGGGCAGAGTCGTCTAATGGGATCCATCAGATTGTGTCTCCTGTCTTTAAAGAGATTCTCATGTTGTTCAAAATGACTTTGACAGTAAGAGTTCAGACACTCCACACAGGACTTGACCGCTTTGTATTTCTTCCCAGTACAGACGTCACACTCCACATCTCCAGGTTCAGCTGTTTGTAAGTCTGTCGTCTTCAGTTTCGCCACCATCTCAGCAATTATGACATTCTTACATAAAGCAGGTCTTGAAGTGAAGGTGTGTCTGCACTGAGGGCATCTGTAGACTCTCTTCTGTTTCCAGCAGTCTGTAATACAGCTCATACAGTAACTGTGTCCACAGGGAATAGTCACTGGATCCTTCAAGAGATCCAGACACACTGAGCAGCTGAACTGGTCCTGAGAAAAACTGGCTTCTGCCATTTTAATAGATGTACATACAAACAGAGACGCACATACGACAGCTTGACAACACTTCAGTGACACTCAGCTGACAAACTGAAATATTTCCTGGTTCTGTTTCAGTAAAGTGTGAAAAAACGGTATGTGTGCGTGGTTTGACTCCCCTTTATAACACTGTAACCTGACACTGTATTTTACACTGTAACATTTACTTACACATTACATTTACAATATCCCATTCTATGTAATTGAAATGGTGGTATGTGAGCATCTATTGTTATATATTGAAGTATGTATACAGTGCATACATATACATGCATACATATGTGTGTGTGGGTCCATACAACGAACTTGCAGAGTTTCTTCTTTACAGGTAAGCTAAACTTCGAGTTAACTTAAAATTATTTCTAATATGATGGACCTTTTTAGAAAGTAGAGTAATTTTGTACTTCAAAGAAAAGTATGTAATTTTGTGATTTACCTTGTAGCTGGTTGGTTTGGTTTATGGCTTATAACGTTTTAATGAAGAGCTTTTTTTAAAAATCCTTATGGGAAAATTAACGGAAAAAATACTTCTGCAATCTGAAATAGTGGTCACGAAAACTAAGGCGCTCTATATTGTGTGTAATTTTTTCAGCCCATCTCCCTGATTTCCTTCATCCCTGTTGGCTAGACCGCACTCTACACCTAAGAGCGACTGGCCTCTCAGGGAGGTTCGTTTACTAGATGGCATGTCTGCTGATGAAGGCATGGGTACTGCCGGGATGTTGGCATTTTTAACTGTTTCAGGGATTTTTGATCGACTGCTGTTGGTTTCCGAGTGTTTCAGAATGAGCTATCATGAACAACTTGAACTGCGGCTTAACATTTCTACTCTGGACACAAATGCCATGACATGTTGCATCAAAAGCACATAGAAACCAGTGAAAAACAAATGTAAAAATGTATCTAATTTCACTGTAACACATCCCCCATCATCTCTAGACTTTCATGTTGAAGTTTGAGATTCTTGTTTTTGCTGTTTAATTAGGCCAATTTTTCCCAGGTGTTTCTAGCGCTCTCATTATCCCTTGTGTTTATATGCCCTGTGTTTTCCCTTGTATTAGGAATGTGGAAATCAGCTTCATAAAGTTCTGAGGTATTCCCATTACAGTTCCAGAAAAGATCCAAAGCTTCCAGAGTGTTGAAAACAGCGCAATCTGGTGGTCCGTAATAAATAAAGCAGCCAAAACCTGTTTAAGAAACTGTTGGGTTAAGCTACCACCACACACGCCATCGTTTCATTGGGTGTTTGTGTGTGTCTCTGTGTGTGTGTGTGTGTGTGTTGAATTTCTCCATCTGATAAATTAATCTACGCATTAAAATGTGTCAATAAATGCCAGTATAAACGAATATCAATATGGAGTAGTAGAAGAACAACGTACACATATGAATAACAACGTTGTACATGTCAAGTATTTTGCCTTGAATAATTTGTGTTCTACATGTTTGACTAGGTATTTAAAAATGTAACTGAAGTTTGAATGAAAACTCGTAAAAGATGTTTTGGGGTTCAAACAGCAAAGTGAAGCACGCACGTGACTAGAGAGAGAATGAAGCTTTCTTTGTTGTCAATCGCGTGTAAACAATACACCCCCAAAACGAGGCTTCATTGGAATCTGTATTGCATGCGTGATGCATGCCTCAAAGCTTTTAATCACTCATTTTGGGGTCAGTCGTTGTGGATGTAACCTCTGATTTGGATGTCTCCAGTGTTTCCATTTCCTTCCGTGTTCCATGTATTCTTGTCATGGTTATCCTTTATGTTTTTGTTTAATTTTAGTTCCCTGTTTCCCAGTTTCCTGTTTTGTTCTTTCATTTATTAAACCTCTTGCATTTCGAGCCAGGGATAGCATAACAGGGGGGAAGGTTAGGACAGTTCCAAGGGCCCTGATCAGAGAGGGGGCCCGACGGAAACAACCCCCGGAACACAGTTTCTACCGAGGGGGCCCGAGTTAGTATGCTGTTCAGGGGGGCCAGAAACCATAGGGGCGTCCCAGTTTAGAGCCACACCCATCTGTCTGCTTTCCTTTTTCTCCCTGCCTGCTTGTTATTACAGAATCAAGCTTACTTCTCTATATATTCAGAATAAGCATTATTTTCTCACATCTTAGAAATGATAAGCCTAGTACCAAGCATTCATTTCGATCTGCAGTCTAATAAATGTTAAACAGAAAAGTAAAACGACACACTCTGAGGAAGGCTGGATGGCCGAAATACATCAGTGTGCAGTGTTTTAGTCATCTACGGATCCAAGAAGTGCCTTGGATCCGTAGTTTCTATAGAAAGTAAAATGGTTTACAACTACACTGAATCTTCACTCTTAAAAAATGTCTTCACTGTAAAAAATTTAATAAATTAAAATGAATATCCAAGTTGTCACTAGGTACAACTTCATATTACAAGCTGACTAAACCTAAAATGTTAAGTCAGCGTGAAGATTTTTTTCAGTTTTATCAGTTTAAATTTGTATTCTTTAATGATGATGCCATCACGCACAGTGTTTTATTGGTAAAAGGCCAGTTGGAAGAAAGTGAGCTATTTCTCTCATTTTCAGAATGTATTAGTAGTAAACACATCAGAAAAACAAAACGACTTCTGCATTCAAATACAAGCTGACTAAACCTAAAATGTTAAGTCAGCGTGAAGATTTTTATCTCAGTTTTATCAGTTTAAATTTGTATTCTTTAATGATGATGCCATCACGCACAGTGTTTTATTGGTAAAAGGCCAGTTGGAAGAAAGTGAGCTATTTCTCTCATTTTCAGAATGTATTAGTAGTAAACACATCAGAAAAACAAAACGACTTCTGCATTCAAAGTGTGTGTGTGTGTGTGAGGCAGAGTACAGAGACTGTTTTCCTGCTCCTCCCAATGCTCAGCGAAGCATGTTTCCTCTCATATTGTTGATATAGGTCTACTCTAAAAAAAATTGCTTTTACACAGCAGACTCCGCTGATTCATTGGCTTAGAATCAGAAATTCAGGGGGTGTTCACTGCATGCTAATATTTTCCAGGCTTTGTTTTGTTTCCTGGAGACGGACATTTTCCTGAAGAATTAAATGAAAAAAGCTTAAGGGCAAGTGTTCTGGAGTGTTATACTGATGGGGAACTGATTCTCACTCAGTAACAAAAATCTGCAACAAAGACCCGGAGCTGATTACAAACCATGGATGTTTTAAACCCAGATGACTACAGCTATGAGGACTATTATAACGCAGAAGGACTTGAGGAATTTGGGCTCTGCAAGAAGACACATGTAAAGGAATTCAGCCATGTGTTTCTTCCTGTGTTCTACTCCGTTACTTGTGTATTGAGCATTATTGCCAATTTGACCCTTCTAACATTGTTCATCAAATACAAATCTCTGAGGAAGGTGTTGCCTCTGCACATGGTCATATCAGATATTCTTTTCACAGTCAGCCTTCCCTTCTGGGCAGTGTATGCCAGCAGTGAGTGGATCTTTGGTGATCAAAGCTGTAAGGCAATCTCATTGGTTTACATGGTGAGTTTGTATAGCAGCAACCTGTTTGTTGCTAGTCAGAGCTTGGAGAGATTTATGGACCTTGCATGTGTTGTTTCTACCACCAGCATTTTCAAAAGTCCAAAGAGGAATACTATCGTGTGCATTTTGGTGTGGCTTTTCTCAGTTTTGTGTGCGGCTGTTCATGTCAGCTTCGTTGAGACGCAAACGTTCCACGACCAGTACATTTGCACTTATCACTTCAATGATAAAGTCGGTTGGAAAATCTATGCAAGATTTCAGATGAACATACTTGGGTTCGTCGTACCGTTTCTAGTGCTCCTATTCTGTTCCATCAGACTACCATGTGTTGCTGAGGTGAGGAGCGCGTTCAAGGTGTTTAGACACGAAGCTGGATTCACCGTCATGTTTTTTCTCCTCTGGTTCCCCTACAGTGTGGTCATTTTCCTGTATGCTTTGCAAGACCTTCACATTTTTTATGCATGCACCACTAACATACACTTTGACTTTGCCATTCATGTGACAGAATGTATCACTTTCATGCATGTTTTCATCAATCCTGTTCTGTACATCTTTTTAAACAAAAAAGTCTGGCGACGACTCAGAAATGCCTGCAAAACTCCAATGGAGTATCTGCTTGAGGAATCCAACAGTTCATTTGTCATGTCAAGTGAGGGTGGAGCTATAGAGTTGAAGGCGGTTCAGCGATATCAAGCTCATGACCTGAGCATTAGTGCTGAACGACCTAATAACTTCTTACCTGAGCCAATGTAAAAGCTTAATTTCGTTTATCGCAGCTTTTAATAGTTATGCCAACAATGCTGTTTACACTGCACTACTCTTTTCACTGTTTATGTTAACTTGTATTTATATCCCAATACATAATGTTTTCAGTAAAATTTGTTGAAGTTCTTTCCACAAGCAATGGCTGATCTAGCAAATATAAAACCATGCATGTGTGAGCCTGTGAGGTGTCCAAAAAGGAGTATATTACTGTATATCACCATTTTTCAAATGCTTATGAATGCTTATGAATTGACACT